GAGTATGAGAGAGTAATTGCAGTTAGATCAAAAGTGCCTGAGAAAAATGCAAGTACTTTCGCAGATTACCCGAAGTTGCGATAGTGAAGGTATGGTCACAGAAAGAAGACATAACACTCTTAAAACGTTCATCAAAACCGTTTTTAACGGTCAATTTAAATGTTTCTTAGTTGGTAGTACTGCCATTTGTGGTGCACATTCCCTAGCGTTTGACGTTAACACACTACAACCATCTGTTGAGTGTATTGCACATCAAAGTATATACGACAGATGGCGGTAGGGTTTACAATTATAAATGTTCAATGTGTTGTGTCTGCTTGTCTGTGATATAACATTGAGGTAACGTTAGGATAAATTCAAAACATTGAGAAATATTACACATCACTTTCAGAAATACTTCACTTCGCAACCGATGAACCATTCTGACGGCCATATGAGTACCCAAGTAACCATATAGTCGCAATATAGCTTGTATATTCTTACTTTGCTTGAGTATGGTTAGTTGGGGAATCTGATGAAACTGTCACTTCTTGAAACTGATCCCTTTCGTATTTCTTTCATTCTCCTTTCGCAAACGGAGCGCTCGATGAACCAGTGAATTTGGACGTGAGCCTCGTCCCAGATCACCATGGCAATTCAAACCGACCAAAAAAGGCGGAATCATATTAGAACCAACCAACCAAGGACGGTCTACGGAAGGAAATTGCCGGTGAAGCACGGAATGAAATACGAAGCGTTAGAGAAAAAGTCCAAGGGCTTCCAAAAGAAGCAAATAACGACGGCTGAAGAGCAGAATATGGTGAGAGCTTTCCATTCATTAAAAAAAAAATAAATATCAAAATTACACTAAATACATGCCAGGGTTGAAAAGAATATTTTCAAACCTGGAAGTGTGTATGTATCACCAATATCCATTTGATAACAGTGATGCATACATGCGGGGCTTATTGTGAGTGAAAGTAACCTCGGCGTGACTCTCCAGACATTCTGAAATGGGTTGCTGGATCTGCAATAGAGCTATCACCTTCTAACTCCCGGACTAAAGCTGTCTACAATGACCATAAATGCGACATTGTAGAGAGAGTTCTTCCATAATAACACTGCCGGCCAGTGGGGGTTAGAGGGAATACACACACACACAAGTGCCTATATTTGCGCCACTCGATTGTAATTGAGTGATTGTTGCTGACCTTTTCAACGCTAGATGGTGCGTGAAGCAATATTTTTAGGGGTCGCCATTGCAATGTATGGAAAAAGCATGAATGGATAATATTGTTAATATGGTTTATCTGGAAAAATGCAAACGGAAAATTTTTCAATCATTTTCTACAAAATAAAAATTAGTAATTCAAATTGCAATTTTCTTCAGAAATTGATTTTCATTTAATTTTAATTATAAATACATGAACTAATTAGCAATGTTGTAGTCGATGAAAACACCTAATTAATAGAAATCATACATGAATGATAACCCAAACGTATACATGATTCCACAAACAATCTGAGTGATATCCCTAACTCGTTATTAACCCTTTGTCTGTACTTTGGGGTCAGTTTGACCCTAGGTAATTTTAAAAGGCTGCATTTTTTTTTAAATTGTAGATGGGTTTTACTTATCCTTCCTTACCTAGGGCGGCCTCTGTAGCACTGTAATTTTAGTTGAAATCAACTTCAGAAAACTTGAAAACACAATGAAGTAATGATATTGGGTTTTTAGCTGAATACTTTTTACCTAGGAGATGAGTACTTAAGGGGGTTAGATGTTGATAAGTCTTTTTACTTGAAAACATATTTATTGGAATACTTTCGTAATTTCAATGGTTTAAATCATTAGTCTTTTTTTTAAGGAGGAGGGATCATTGTAAAATTCTACCCATGAAGTAGCATATGTTGATATTAGAAATGTTTGTCACAAGATTCAAACTATAGAGCATGATACTTCCTCCTGCAACGATATTTAAAAATACAAGATCTTCATTACTATGGATAGTGATGACATAATTTAATCACTAGATGGCTTAAATACACCTAACATAACGCTGTATAGAGAACTTGATCATATGGAAGGTTCCTATATCCAACAAAGTTATTCAGATTGACAAAGTCTATCTGAAAGAATGTTGTTAAGTTCAGAATTCACTCACCAGGTGGTGATAGAGTGACAATCATTATTAATTGTTTGCCCCGTCTTCGACAAAATTGTTCAAATGGACAAGACCTATTTTATTTAATTTTTCTTCGAATTGTTTTCCGTCGATCTTGTTTTCCGTACTGAGTAGCAATACTACCGACGCCAGGAAGACAACTCCCACACCTAGACCCTATCTATCGACCCATCAACTCATGGGACCGGAGACCAACGGCTTTACTTCCCCTGATCAGAGATGTCATGCCTCAGAAAATCCCGATGGTGCCGACTGGGATTGAACCCAGGCCCTTTGGAGTGAGAGGTAATCACGCTTACCACTACACCACCAGCGCCTATTTTATGGTAAAGAGTTTAGTTCAGAATTCAGTCACCAGGCAGCGCTAGTGTGATATTATTTATTCATTGTTTGTTCTATCTTATCATCTTGACTAGATAGAAGGTTCCCGTCTTTGGTAAAGTTCTTCAGATGAACAAGACTTATTTTATGGTGAAGAATTCAGCAATAAATTCACTCACCATGAAGCAACATTCATTTTGAATTGATTGTCCTAACTAAGCATATGGAGCATATGTCCTAACTAAGCAAGAGCTCAGAGAAAGTTAGAAAAACTCCAAAGGTTAGCAACTCTCTCAATAACAGGTGCAATGAGAAGTACACCATCGAAGGCATTGGATGCTTTGCTTTATATGATACCATTGCCTCAATTTGTACAATTAGAAGCCGAAAAGTGTGCTCTAAGGATTACAATGTCAGTGAAACTCTTTGAAGGAGACCTTAGAGGGCATATTAGGATTCTAAAACCTGTTAGTATCAACTCTCTAATAAGGAACAACGAAGACTGAATGGAGAAAAGATACAATTTCAATCGACTTTTTCAAGTATTTGACCCTGGGTGTAATTCATGGTAATTTGGTGGCCCGGTTCTTCGTCCAGGATCGATTGTTTTTCATACAGATGGTTCAAGATTGAACAATCAAGTGGGAGCAGGAGTAACTGGCCCAGGGATAGAAATATCGGTTCCTATGGGCAGATGGCCAACTGTGTTCAAAGCTGAAATCCAAGCAATTTTAGAGTGTTCCATTATATGTTTGCGTAGAAACTATAAGAGTTCAAATATATGCGTCATGTCCGACAGTCATGCTGCTCTAAATGCTTTAAAGTCGGTGACATGTCCATCAAAACATGTCTGGGAGTGTGTTCAATCACTTCAAAAATTGTCGTGTCATAATCAAGTCAACTTATATTGGGTTCCTGGTCATTCCGGGATTGAAGGAAGTGAAAGAGCTCATGCACTAGCAAGACTTGGATCATCGTTCATCGGGCCAGACGATGAACAGTTCAGATAGACGAGCCAGTACCACTCGATGTATTTTTCTTTACTTTCCTTTTTTTCTATATTCTATAATACTGAAACAATGTTGGGCTTAGAATGCTCATCAAAATGCTTAAGTAAGAGAAACGTAGAAAATTTAACTGCAGACATCGTTTGTCTGCCGAGTGCTCAGAGAGTGAGTAAATTTTACTCAGTTGTAGGCGTAGGTCACTCAGCGCTAGAGTAATTTACGCTTTTAGAAATTTCTTCTTTCGAATCAGTAAAAGTGACTCACTCTCTGAATAAGATTTGATTCCTGGTGCGGTCGACGATTTTTAAGGGTTTATATATTCCAAGGCTTCCAGGTCACAATATACGATGGTAATAATAGCAAAATAAAAGAAAGCTTTCTATTAATAACCGTTGAAGTGCACAAACGTATTACCTAAGATGTTGGCGACTAACAGTTGATTGATAAACTCTCAATAGAATAAACATTCTATGGTAACATCGATATATCGTTTCATGAAACCCTTCACGATACGAGTTTGGGTTGTATTCAAATATCTTCGAAGGATTTATTCCTATTGAAAGCAATCAAATCGAAACAGCTATTGATAGCGGATTTTACCTTTGCATCGACTTCCTTTTGTCCGCATTGACAATCGGCAGACACAGTGGGAAGTCGATGACATTAATGCACGTTGGCTTTTTTTCCAACTGAATTGATATTTTTACAACCATTCAAATGCTCTCTCCTCTGTCTTGTTTATGGACTTTGTAAAATAATCACTTCATTCAAAAATTGATACAACGACACTAAAAGGGTTGCAGACAAAAAGTCTTTGCTCGACAAGAGCAAAGCGTATTACTGCGCGTTTCAAACCCCCTCCCACTCCGACCAGTTTCGTTGAACGCCTTCCTCTTACCTCTTCCTCCCGTCACTATCAACACTAAAAATAAAAGAACTTACCGACAGACTCGACCCACTTGATTCCTTTCAGTGTTCAGTTCCTACTTTTGTACAACTGGAAAAAAAATCTCAAGATGCCATCCCCTCTTCACGGTATTGAACGATAAAAATTCAATGAACTATAAAATTTTCATTGTAGATGGGAAAATACGGAAAAAAAGCAACTGCACGGGAACAAGAGGGTGCGTTTCGAGTTCTCTCTTGATTTTTCTGCTTTTTTCCCCCATTACTTAAGGACCGAGCGACGGCAACGACGGCGGTAGTGGATGATGGCTATGTAGCTTCAGTCGGAATATTCAAATTCACTTGCCTCCCAGCCGCGAAGAAGCGCACAGTCTCTCAGCTAGACGAATATAGATTCAAGAATCGTGGGCCATCTTTGTTCTTTGCCATCACGGCAGCAGCACCACCCACCGGTGATGATCCTTCTTAAACAATAAGAGCCGCTTCAAAAGATCTCATTCTCGGGTGGTTTTGGAAAGAAAAAAAACGGGGCTGTTCCACCTTAACGCTTACGGAAATATGGCAGTTGGCAGCTTCTCTTTTCTATTTTCTTCTGTTTCAGATGACTGCCACCACTGCGAAAAGCCGAGTGCAGGTGAGTGTCATTTTTGCTCTTTGCTGATCTTCCTTATTCCTTGTCGCAGAGGCAGGTGTGCAACGGGTGACGGGGGGGAGCAAGGTGCGGAATTGCAGCGCGAAAGTCAAAGTCGGAATGATTGAATGGCTGATGCTTGAATGGGATATATATTCATGAGAGCTAATGTGGTAAATGATGTGTGCAAATCTGCGGTAAATGATGATTGCTTCCAATAAAGGGAGGAAATTGGGTTTTCTTACGGCAAATGTGTCTCCGGGGATTTGGGTCGGTTGAATGGCCTCGAATTACCGATGAAATCAGTGAGATGTAAACAAATGCTTCTGCTGGATTATTCGGATCATCATGCTGTAATCCTGATATAAAGGAGTACAATTTTCATTCGTGTTTGGATTTATTGAAGAAGCATGGACTCATCGAATGAAGGCTATTCTTTATTGTTTATTGTTCATTGTTTATTGTTCATTGTTTATTGTTCATCGTTCATTGTTTATTGTTTATTGTTTATTGTTTATTGTTCATTGTTTATTGTTTATTGTTATTTGTTTATTTTTTATTGTTTATTGTTTATTGTTTATTGTTTATTGTTTATTGTTTATTGTTTATTGTTTATTGTTTATTGTTTATTGTTTATTGTTTATTGTTTATTGTTTATTGTTTATTGTTTATTGTTTATTGTTTATTGTTTATTGTTTATTGTTTATTGTTTATTGTTTATTGTTTATTGTTTATTGTTTATTGTTTATTGTTTATTGTTTATTGTTTATTGTTTATTGTTTATTGTTTATTGTTTATTGTTTATTGTTTATTGTTCATCGTTTATTGTTTATTGTTTATTGTTTATTGTTTATTGTTTATTGTTTATTGTTTATTGTTTATTGTTTATTGTTTATTGTTTATTGTTTATTGTTTATTGTTTATTGTTTATTGTTTATTGTTTATTGTTTATTGTTTATTGTTTATTGTTTATTGTTTATTGTTTATTGTTTATTGTTTATTGTTTATTGTTTATTGTTTATTGTTAATTGTTTATTGTTTATTGTTTATTGTTTATTGTTTATTGCTCATCGTTTATTGTTTATTGTTTATTGTTTATTGTTTATTGTTTATTGTTTATTGTTTATTGTTTATTGTTTATTGTTTATTGTTTATTGTTTATTGTTTATTGTTTATTGTTTTTTGCAATATTTTCTCCGATGCAATTAAATCTATGATCGTAAATTGATCCATTTTTATCGAATCTCCGATTTGTTCATCTCTTGAAAATTCGTCATTTTTTATAGTTTATCCCGTAAATGCAGAACGTAACGCCTTAATTTAATTGCTTCCAACGTATGACACCAACAATATCGTCCAATACTATGCGCCTTGTATTTATTCCCCTCAAAGTGACACATCCTCAACTTTTCGCCGTGTTCACGTATCAGTTAAAGATGCGCTAATTTTGCTTTTGTTGGTAAACAACATTGGGTTCACGCGTCCTTTGAAATGTTTACTACCGTCATCAAAGAAAAAAGTGTATTGCATTTTTATGTTTAGAATTAAATTTTGCTTCGCCTTTCACTTTGAACAGATTTTTCGATAGTGGAACATAAATTTTTTGTGGGTATTTTTTAGTAAATCTTTGAATGCTCCGTCTGATTACTGCAAATTTTCCCTTTGATCATAGTTTGCTAGTTTCACCGCAATCACAATCATTCCAAAATTTTAAGCTCTTCATGACATATTTTTCTGCATGAAAAATCTAGGAGCAGGGGTCTACTACAGCTGTCAAGTGCCTTCTATTGCAATATAATGGCTTAAACCAGGAAGGCTCTTTGCTGTATATTCCAAAATATTTTTTTGATATTTTCAATATCTTGACTTTGACTTATAAAACAATATTTGTATAACTAACATTGCACAGTGGTCCAGAGCGGAAAAATACATGGAAATTGGGTTTTCTGCAAAATCTACTGGTTATAGCGTTTTGATGTCTTCGAAAGAATTGTTGGTAATAAAAAAGCGCATGTTTTCATTGGATCAGTCATTAGGGTGATTCAGTTTTAGGGTGACTTCAAAAATCTAACTCTTCAGGGAACTTGGGAACTTTTTTTTACTTTTTCAAAGTTGTAGAAGATGCAAAACCAAGCAACTTTGTCGAAGACGTCAAATTTTTATCTCATCATCTACGCAGTCTACGAACTGAAACAACTAGAAGGTTAGGGTGAATCACGAAAAAACTGTTTTTTGACCATAACCTTTTTTGCTTTGCATTTAGAGAAAACTAGTCTTCAAAATGGAGGGGAACCAGCCCCAGGATGAAAGCCTCCCTAATAAAGATAAATTAATTAATTAATTAGTCTTCAAAACACTTTTAGAACTTTAAAAAACACACATTTTGATCACCTAATTATGATGTTTGGACCAATGAATCAAAAGATATAGTTATTTTAAGGTTTGAAACAAGTATTTTTCAAACTAATATAACTTTTAAACGTATAATATTATTTAAAACATTAAATAATTGCTCAATCACAGCAACTAATTCCCATTAATTTGTTTGTATCCAAAATTTCAGCTCAGAACGAGTTGTCAAAACATTTTTTGTGAGCAAACAGCTTAGATTAGTTGTCACTATTATTTTACAATAGCTTTTAGCAGTTTTTAGGAGGAATGGCCGGTTATTGCCACTTTTATTCATGTTCATGTATTTTCCTTAAAAAATGACAATTTTCTAATTCAAATATCTGAAGTTAAAAAAATGATACCCCTACCATTTTTTCAGCAAACATAGAACCAAATATCTTCTTTCCATTACTTTCAATAGATTTGCAATTGGCTCGCGCGTTTTAAAGTTATATTAGTTTGAAAAATACTTGTTTAAAACCTTAAAATGACTATATCTTTTGATTCAGTGGCCCAAACGTCATAATGAGGTGATCAAAATGTGTGTTTTTTAAAGTTCTAAAAGTGTTTTTAAGACTAAATTTCTCTAAATACAAAGCAAAAAAGGTTATGCTCAAAAAAATGCTTTTTTCATGAATCACCCCAACCTTTTAGTTGTTTCAGTTCGTAGACTGCGTAGATGATGAGATGAAAATTTGACGTCTTCGACAAAGTTGCTTGGTTTTGCATCTTCTACAACTCTGAAGAAAAAAAAATCCCAAAAATTTCCCTGAAGAGTTAGATTTTTGAGTTACCCTAAAACTGAATCACCCTAATGACTTTTATTACCAACAATTCTTTCGAAGACATCAAAACGCTACAACCAGTAGATTTTGCGGAAAACTCAATTTCCATGTATTTTTCCTCTCTCACTGTGCATTGTTCAGCATAAAAAGCTGTATATTCATGATTTCTTTAATTATTTCCTTGAAATACTTTAATATTTTCGATTATATTAAGAAATATTTTATTCTATTTTCAAAGGTGTAGCTATGTCATTAGACCGAATACCTTTAGGCCAAATGGGTTATTGGACTGAAAGTCATTAGTTCAAATGGGTCATAAGGGCGTATTTTGAAAAGTAGTTGACTTTATTGGAACAATTTTCATAGCTTTGGATCTTTGATGATTTCTAAAGATTCTTGCCTCTCTTTTAAGATATTGAATAGGGGAAATGGATGTAATGTTGGCATAAATGCCTCTAATTAGGGCCCATACAATTGGCCAATCGACAACATTTTCAATAACGATCAAAAATTTCCATTAGTACCGTCCCAATGACGCTTTTATCTAGATAAAATTGATAAATAGTGGTTTTTAGTGATGGGACTAATATTAGATCCATAGGCCAACATCAGAGCTAATTCCCCTGCATTACAAAATGTTGATTTAAGAACTTGAATAATGTACACCAATCAGCATAAAAAAAAAATCAAGATCTTATTCAATGATCAAAAAAAAAATGATCTTTGACTTTTTTTTCGTAATTTTGAAATCTCCGACTTGGAAATCTTTTCATGGTTTAGGAATTTTGATAAATTAATAGATTATGGGCATAGAAAATGATGCAAGCTCAAGGACTTGGCAAGTTTTCGAAATCTCACATGTAGGATCATTTTTAGCTGAGGAATGTTTAGCCTATGATTTTTCAAAGCAGATATCTCTCGCTCTAAAACATGAGCAGTTCTTTTGAGTTTCAAAAATAATTATCTGAAGACATTTTCATCTTTGAAACACGGTTGGTTCTTTCGAGACATATTGTAGCAAAGATTTTTGGCATAATGGATGACCATCTACATAATTTCGCCTTCTTTTTTTAAGCATATTATAATCTTATACCAGAACAAACCATGATGAAAAATAAACTACTATTAAATTTTCAGTCTAATCACCCCTTCGTCCTGGTGACAAATTCCGTCTAAAGATCCATCACCATTTTCAAATATATCTATATTATCTTGCCTCTTGGCTTGAATCCAACAACGCAGGAGTTTACGTAATTGATTGACGTTTGGTGCCTTCTCGTAAAGCAGCTGCTTGGGCAACTGTGATCATAAACCAATTCAGTTCTCCATGCAGAATCTCATAAATGTGCAGCATCTAAGGCTGATTCCATAGTGAAAGCGAAGCGAAGAGGCGAGCGAAGCATTGAAACGAATGTAAGGAATATACAGGAATACAATAACACAGGGTGGACATCTTTATGTAGTCGTCTGTAGTTCACTGATTTCCAATATATATAACTTCTCCGTTTAAAATTAAATTGGGATATTGTAAATCATGTCTGAACAACGCATCCGGGCCGTGGCCGGCAACGAGCTTAGAAAAAGCCTTCGCATTCGGCCCGTGGGTTATTTCGGGATCTTTGTCGGACGAAAGTTTGGAATCGTATTTGCGGATTTCGGTAACAGTGTTCTGCAATGAGTGTTGAATAGCACCCAACTAACAATTTCAGCTGCAGATTAGCTTATGGCAATGGCTTATACAGCTATTTTATGCCTGTAAAAGATAGTATGTAGCGAAAATTGTTTGTTCGGCAGCCTAAATTTTCAAGTTTCTCGTTAAATCACTCA